CTAGCCTCCTAGCTGGTCGTGCGCTCCGAAGTCAAACTTCTTCCTGCTTATTATCCATTCTTCTATATACATTCCTACTACTCTGGCCTCCATCGACTTCTTCTGTCCTAAGGTACCACCAAGAATGAGATAGCTAACTAACACAGAAAAAGATGAGTAGAATGTGCAAGCATTTCAAGAAAATGCGTATTCAGACACAGGAAGAGTCACGTGACTGTTCAGGGCTTAGGAAAGCGTGGGCGTAGGGTGGGCCACTTCTCGACGAAAGGTAGGAAACTCAGCGCATCTCGGAGGTGGAGAAAGGAGAGACGGCAACGTCCTCCTTCGCCTGACTTCTGGTGACGTTAGAGAGATAAATATTCCAGAAGAGGGCAAAAAAGTTGACCACAAACAACCTGTGGGAGAGAGCAGTCGTGAGAAAGAAGACACCACCTACCTCAAGTGCAGTGGCACAAACGAGAAGTTGATGAACTGCGTTGCGGGCCAAATCTAAAGCAAACATGAAAGGATGAAAGCGGGAGTGCCTACCTTGTAGTTAGTCAGTACGGTATCCACATAGGATGAGGAGATGGATTGCTTGGCCTCCTTCACATCCCAATTTCGGGTGAATCCAACCAATCCAATGATGCAACAGATCGTGACCGGGGCCATTACTAACTGGTCAGTGGCTACCATCTTCAGAGTGCGTAGTACACCTTTGCCGCGGTAAAACCGATCGACGAAGGAGAACCAGGTGTGCAGGATAGGACTCTAAAAAGGAGAGAGGAGGGCAAGAAATCTGTAACACATGTTCAAGCCCAAGTGGGAGTAACCTTGTTACTCTTTACAGCAACTTGGTTCTATAAGACTCCCTTGTCCTTACTAGAGGATAAAGCAGAAATACAGTGGCATACAATGCTTGCTATGAGACTTCCTGTGGGAGCTCTTAATAGAGGACAAAGCAGAAACAAACGATCATCAATTGTGGAATAAAATACTTGCACTAGGATATAGTGTAGCTGAGACGACAACAGATGGTCCAAAGTTAGTCTGTGCATGTGAACAGAACTCAAAATTTTAATTTGTTTTCAAGTTTAGCGACAAAAACCGGAATTAATTAATGATGGTCAATGATTTGGTTGTGTAAGGTACTTGAAAGGGCCTATTAAGTAGTTAGGTAGATTTTTAGCGGGTTGAGGAATTTCGGATCATACTTTCTGAAGCAAAGATACGTAAACCATCAATTTACGTAAGTAACCGATGAGTCCATGTACAGACAACCGCGACTCATTAACCACAAGGTGAGTTCAGTACTCGCCACACTATTCTTACACCCTACTTGTTCTAATAACAAAACGGTTCAAGGAGGACTAAACGGATGAAGGGGTTCACAGGTTTAAAAGTTCCATCAACACGTGCCCCACACCACCAAATTCCACGAAGTTACCAATTTTCAGGCGAGGACGGTCGCGGATTTCATCAACGTCA